CAGCAGGCAGCAGCCCCTTCTCTCTCTCATCCCCATCACCCGGGGCCAGGTCAGCAGGCAGCAGCCCCTTCTCTCTCTCATCCCCATCACCCGGGACCAGGTCAGCAGGCAGCAGCCCCTTCTCTCTCTCATCCCCATCACCTGGGGCCAGGTCAGCAGTCACCCACCCCTTTTCTCTCTCATCCCCATCACCTGGGGCCAGGTCAGCAGGCACCCGCCCCTTCTCTCTCTCATCCCCATCACCTGGGGCCAGGTCAGCAGGCAGCAGCCCCTTCTCTGTCTCATCCCTGTTCACCTGGGGCCAGGTCAGCGGCACTGGCCCCTTCTCTCTTTCTTTGGTCTGCTATTCTGTTGCAGTGACTCACAAACTCCAGGGAAAGGACTATACTTAATACAGCAGGAAAAAGGATACACACACGTAGGGCGAGGCCCAGGAGGGGTCTCAACGCCGAGCTTCCATGCCCCTCGGGGCCAAGCTTACCCTCCTGAGAGCGGCTGTTCGCTCTCTCCACCCAGGAAGCTCCACTGAGCCTCGTCTCCCAAGGCCTTTACCGGCCTCCCCACGTGGCCATGATAGATGACATCGTGCCTCCTGAGGCTTAGTCATCATTGGGCCGCAGGTGGTCTCTCCTGGCCTGGTCAGCCCCCACTCACTGGCTTCAGGTGTGCTTGGCTCGTAGGAACCAGGACCAAAGGCCAGACCGTTGACTGCGTGTCTCTCCATGGGCTCCTCCAGAGCCCTTGTTTCCAATCACAGGTGTGTGGAGGTGCAGGTACGATGTGGCCCACGCTGGGCCACATGTGGGCTTTACTGCCCAAGAGGCAGAAGAGGGGAGCAGTCAGTAGTGGGACTCAGGAGACCCATCACCTGGGTTCCAGCCACTGTCCTCCTACATACTATCTTGGGCAGGTTCCTTCACCTGTCTGTGCCTCAGTGTGCTCCTCTGTAAAATGGAGATAATAATAGTTCCTATCTCTTAGGGTTATTGTGAGGGTGAAATGAGTTACTCAGGGCTTCTCAACCTCGGCACTCATTGGAGCTGGATCATTCTCTGTGGTGGAGGCTGTCCTGTGCATTGTAGGGTGTTGAGCAGCATCCCTGGCCGCTTCTACCCATGAGATGCCAGTAGCACCCCCCACCACAGTCATGACAACCAAAAATGCTTCCAGAAATCGCCAAATGTCTCCTGATGGGCAAAGTCGCCCCCCAGTTGAGAACCCCTGAGTTAAGTAAGGATAAAGTAAGTCAAGTGCTTGGAATAATGCCTGGCATATCGTAAGTGTTCAGTAGGTGTTAGTGGCCAATGCTTTCTCTATCTCCATAATATTTCATGAGTCTTCACGGTAACTCATGGAAGCTCTTACCAGGCTGAAACCTGTGTTTCTGAGCTGATGAGTGACTTGGTGCCACAGCAAATGGCCCATCTGGGGTTTGAGTCCAGATTGGTGTATCCATAGCTAGCTGGGCCCCTCCTACCTCTCCACCATTGCCTGCCTCTCCACTAGCACTTCAGCAGCTGAAAGGTTGGAAGTTCAAGTCCACCCAGAGGCACCTTAGAAGAAAGGCCTGGCAATCTACTTCCAAAAAAATCAGCCATTGAAAACCCTCTGGAGCCCAGTTCTACTCTGACACACACAGGGTCACCATGAGTCAGAATCAACTCATGACGACTGGGTTTTACCCACAAATGTCTGATACCGTTGGCCGTTTCCCAAGCGAATCGAAACCCCAGAAAGTTTGTGTTGGGACTCAGACAAGATTCTAAAGCGTGTCTCTTCAAATGTCCGCCATTGCTGCTCATCCAGGTGAGACTTTCCTCCAGAACCATCCAGGTGGAACGTGTTTTGTTGTTTTTTTTTCTTTCTTACATTCTCCCCCTGTGACCCTGGGTCCAAAGAGTGCTAAGTGTGACAGCACCGGCGTTGAAGCCGTTACTGTTTTACTTATCAAACACAAAACACTACCTGGTGTGGGGAAATCACTGAGTCCGTCCTGATTTTTCAACATGGTCAGGTTTGAGGCCCGAGGGGACCCTCAGCAGGCCAGGTTTCTGGGGTGGAGGGGCGTTATTTTCTCTGACGTTTTCCCCCTCTTGCTGGATTCCCCGGTACCTGCTAGGGAAGGTGTGGTCCATCTCCGCCATCAGATGATGGTCAAGGGCAGTGGTCTAGGGCTGTCTGGGGGTCAGAATCGTGAGGTCTGTCTGCAGAAGTTCCATCTGCCCTCAAAGCGGTTGGTTTTGTTTCCACAGAAAAACCTCTTCAGGCCCTGGTGCCGAGGACCCTAGGTATGACTCGCCTGCAGGACATCTGTCCAGGGCCGGCGGGCCAGGCGGGCGGGAAGCATGCCGTGTGCCTTGAAGATTCCAAGGGCTTCTGGGGCTTGTTGCATGGAATGGGGCTGCGCTGCTGGGACGACGCTTCTCAAGCTCCCTTTAAATGTCTTCACACTGAAATGAGATCTGGGCACGAATTCAGGGAATAATCTTAGCTAACACACTCTTATGGAAAAATAGACTCCACGGGGTACTGACTGGGTCCCTCCCAGCTAGGCTGCACATTCCCCCCGTCCACTCACTAAATATTTATCAACACCCACTGTGTGTACAGAACTGTACCCGGCACTGAGTTGGAGACACATGAGGCAAGGTGCCCTGCTCCAGCAGTTTATACTATAGTGAGAAAGACTGACATGGAAGCAGAACATTTTTCTTTGAGTTGACAAGTGTAGGGGTGCTGGGTAACTGCATTTCATGGAGGAGAGTCAGGGAAGCTTCCTCTAGAGTTGTGTTGGCTCAGAGGAGAGATGGGCGGGGGGTGAGGGGGGAGGCATTCCAAGCGAAGAGAACATGGGCAGAGGCCAGGAGGTGGGACGAATGGTGGGTTCCTGGGAGGTCAGTGAGAGGCTGACTGGCTGTGAGGGGGAGGAACTGGAGGACAGAAGGGAAGGCAGGTTGGGGCCCAGTCAGGGCATTTATTCTTTAAGCAAAATTTAGTTTTTTTAAATTCCAGGATATGTGTGGCCTGATCTGACCTCTAGTGGCTGCTTGGGGTATAATCTGAGCAAGGACCTGTTGTGGTCCATCCTGACTGATAGTGACCCCATAGGACACAGTAGAACTGCTCCTTAGGGCTTCCAAGGCTGTAATCTTTACGGAAGCAGATTGCCTGGTTTTTCTCCAGTGGAGCGGCTGGTGGGTTCGAACCGCCGACCTTTTGGTTAGCAGCCAAGCTCTTAACCACTGTGCCACCAGGGTTCCTTAGAGTAATGAAAGACCTCGACATTTGTGGCCTTGGTCCAGACCAGGGTTTCTTGCCCTTGGCACACTTGATATTTGGGGCTGGAACATTCTTTGCTGTGGGGGCGTGTCCTGTGCACTGTAGGGTGTTGAGCAGCCTCCCTGGGCTCCACCCACTCGATACCATATGCTCCCCACTTCCCCAGTCATGACAACCACAAATGTCTCTCGACATGTCCAAGTGTTCCCTGGGGGCAAAACTTCCCCTGGTTGGGAACACCCCTGGACGAGTGGGAGATGGTAGGGTAATAAAATAATGCATAGCGGGGAGTGGAGTCAGTTCTTGGATGGTGCAACTGGTGAACGCACTTGGCTGCTAACTGAAAGATTGGAGGTTTGAGTCCACCCAGAGGCACCTCGGAAAAAAGGCCTGGAGATGTTTCTGAAAAATTAGCCATTGAAAACTCTATGGAGCACAGTTTTACTCTGATACACATGGGATTGCCATGAGTCAGAATCAACTCCACTGCAAAATTTTTTTTTGGAAGGAGTGGAAGAGACGGTGCTTTGTCATAGGTGTCCCCACATCTTTCATTTACTGCGTTGTGGTCTTTTTGGATATAATCCTTTTGGTGTATACACATTTGTCCTCTTTGGCCAGATCATTTTGTTTTCCAGTTGTTCAGATATCAATTTCTCAGTAACTGGTGGGGTTATTCATTAGACACCAATGTCTTGGCCATTTTTTCGAGGCTAGTTTGTGCCTATATAGAAATGTTCTGAATCCTGCTAGCGTGGGTATGTCTTTAGCTTAGTACGGGGGTGCAGCTGTCTTCTTTCCTATCCAAGAATGTCTTTGGTCTTTTAATGCAAAAAAGACCACCGAGAAAATGTTAATAAGCACCCCAGTGTAGGAGTTAGTGTCTGATGTCATGTTTTCTGACTACAGTGCAGTAAAAAGTAAACGTTCATTCAAAAATTTGAACAGAAAACTCTACTTCCTAGTAATTAATATTCATTTGCTTAAGTAACTAACCAAAAGGTTGGCAGTTCGAATCCACCAGCCACTCCTTGGAAACCCTGTGGAGCAGTTCTACTCTGTCCTTTAGGGTCGCTATGAGTTGGAATCTAACTCAACGGCAGCGGGTTTTGGTTTGGGTCAGAGTGGACACTGAAAGTTCCATGGAAGCCTGCTTGAAAAATACTGAAAATGTGAATATCACATAACTTACAGAATATTGCCAAAGCTGGACTTAGACTCAAATTACTAGACTTAAATGGTCTGAACAATTAAAGACTTAAAAATGTAAAAACATAAATGTATTAGGAAGAGAGGGGAAAATCAATAATAGCTAAGCCTATGGTGACTGGGGAGGGAGCCCTGATAGCGCAGTATTTAAGCTCTCAGCTGATAACCAAAGGGTCGGTGGTTCGAATCCCATCCATCTGCTCTGTGGGAGAAGGATGTGGCAGTCTGATTCTGTAAAAGATTTACAGCCTTCTAAACCCTTTGGGGCAGTTCTACTCTGTCCTGTAGGGTCATTGTGAGTCAGAATCTACTAGACGGTAAGAGGTTTTTCTGTTTTTGTTTTTTATGATGGCCGCAAAGGAACCCTGGTGGCACAGTGATTAAGCACTCAGCTGCTAACTGAAAGATGCATGTTGGTGGTTCAAACCCACCAGTTGTTCCGTGGGAGAAAAGACCTGGCGATCTGCTCCTGTAAAGATTACGGCCTAGAAAAACCTATAGGGCAGTTCTGCTCTGTCACGCAGGTTCACTGTGAGTTGAAATTGGCTCCACGGCACCTAACAACGGCAACATGGTGACCGGGTGACTTATAGGTCGCCATTAGTTGGAGCCAACTCAGCAGCAACTAACAGCAACATGGTAAACGTAATCAAGGGAGAAAAACACAAATAAGTAGAAATAAAGGAGGTGATATAAAGCTAGGGTTTGAGGAACTTTTTTAAACGTTGAAATCTCTGGACAACCATGGGCTGGTAAATTTGAAACTTTCAGTAAGGTAGGAAAATTCAACTTGTCTAAACTAATTCGGGAGCCCTGGTGGCATGGTGGTTAAGAGCTCAGGCTGTCAACCAAAAGGTTGGCAGTCCGAATCCACCAGTCACTCCTTGGAAACCCTATGGGGCAGTTCTACTCTGTCCTATAGGGTCGCCATGAGTTGGAATCAACTCAACGGCAACAGGTAAACTGATTCAGGAAGCAGCAGAAAATTAAGTAGTCTAATAACCTTGGAAAAGAAGACTAAAAAATATGTATCAATTAATTCTCTCCAAACAGGCCCCAGGCCCAGAGAGTTTTACAGGTGAATTCTTTCAAATACTGAAAGACCAACTGTTTCGTTACATATAGAAACTGTCCCAGAGCATAGAAATCTATGTAAATCTTCCCAGTTTATTTTATAAAACTCATACAGCACTCACAGTCTCTGGCAAAGATACTTCTCTGGAAGAAAACCACAGGCCAAGCTAATAATTGGCTTTAGGTCCAAATGCCCTAAATAAAAATATTGTACTGGCCATAATATCGTTTATCTCAGAAATGGTTTATGATCAGGAGGTCTGATAATGTAATCTATTTCATCAAGAGGCCCAGTAAGAAAAGTCATAGATCTCATTCAGTAACATTAATTACCAATTCCCAATTTAGAGAAAGAAAAATAAAAGAGGCCTTTTATAAAACAAGGAATAGAATACTTATTCAACAAGACATACCAATTAAGTGCTAGACTACTAGCTGAAAGGTTAGCAGTTCAAACTCAACAGGCTTGGCAATCTGCTTCTGAAAGGTTACAACCTTGAAAACCCTGTGGAATGGTTCTACTCTGCACTTATGGGGTCACCGTGAGTCAGAATCGATTTGTGGCAACTAACAAGAGCAAAAACAAACCAGAAGCCAAGCTAACATCGTTCTTAAAACTGTCCCTGTTGGAGTTAGGAACAAGGAGGCCAAATCTCACCATTACTGATGAACATTTCTCTCCCTTTCTAGCCAGTGCGGTAAGACTTAAAACAAACTAGAATTGTAAAGAATGGGCTTTGGGAAATAAAGTTATTGGTGTTTGCAGATAAGCTATTGCAGGAGTAGGCAGACTGCATGGGCTGGCCTCCTGTTTTTGTAAATGAAATATTGCAATGTTGTTGTTTGTTGACCTGGTATCTGTGGCTGCTTTTGAGTGACCATGGCAGAGTTGAATAGTTGTGGCAGAGATAAAATATTTACTATATGGCCCTTTGCAAGGAAAGCTTGCCAGCCCCCTTTCTAGTGCATTCCATTAGAAAACCAAGAAAATCAACTAAGACACTCTCAGAGTGAAAAGTAGATTCAAATATAATAATAATTTATAATACAATATAAATAAAAAGTAGCTCTTAGATATACTAGAAATAATTAGAACATAAAATAAGGGCAAAACCCCTTTCATAATAGCCATGAAACCTCAGTGTACCTTATAATAACCTTACTTAGAATTATCTGTAGGGAATTTTTTTTTTTTTTTTTTTTACTGATATAGAAACATTTACAGATAAATAGGAAAGACTGTTTCAAATTGGTTAGATAGAACTCAATGGCAAAAGCAAACTGGTGTAAATTGTCTTAAGTGTTTTCTTGCTTGCTGAAAGTGAAGAGGCTTTGAAGCACTTAGTGATGAAGATCAAAACGACTACAGCCTTCAACATAAAACAAAAATTCTCACAACTGGACCAGTAAGCAACATCATGATAAATGGAGAAAAGATTGAAGTTGTCAAGGATTTTATTTGACTTAGATCCATAATCAACAAATCTTTCTTGGAAGAAGTACAGCTAGAATGCTCCTTAGAAGGGAGGATGGTGAGACTTTGTCTCACCATACTTTGGACATGTTATCAGGAGGGACCAGTCCCTGGAGAAGGCAGTCATGCTTGGTAGAGGGTCAGCAAAAAAGAGGAAGACCCTCAATGAGATGGA